TTTTCTTCCATAAAATTAATCGATTCTAGACTAATCCGACTCAACATTTCCAAAATACGTATATTTTTTTTGGAAATAATCCGTATAAACTACGCTATAAACAAACAATTGTAGGATTACTTACCGAGTGTGCACTATTAGACATTCCCATTGCTAAAGCTTGTTTTCGTCGCAGAACAGCTCAGCAAACAGCGGCCGATTTCTAATAACTTATTTATCTGCGAAAACTTCGTTGAACTTTGGAGACATCATTAATATAAATAATTTTAATCGCCGTTGAATAAAAAATGTTTCTTTCACAAGAAATGTATAAAATTACAGTACTGTATTAGACTTACGGTACCTAATTTACATACTGTACAGACGATAGTTAGCGTAAAATCTCTGTAACATCGCGCTATGAGGCTGAAAAAAAAAAATATAATTATAATAAAGTTACACTAAATTAAGTTAATATATAATTATATATACAGTACCTAATTTATATATAATTTATGTATAATACTGTACAGACGATAGCAAACTCTCTGTAGCCCGGCACTTGACGGCAAAAAATAGTTCGGCTGCCCGATGATGTTTCACGTAATTATAGGAGTTTTTCACCTTTTTTACAGATACCATCGCAATTTTTTCGCAGTTTTATAGGAATCGTAATTATAGGAACCGGTTTTATAGGGGTCTACTGTACTGTAAAAGCACCATCCCCCTTTTACTATGTTCCTCAAATAGTATCATTCCCCTACTTCATGTTCCTCAATTAGTATCATTACCTCACTTTTCAAGTTTTAGTTGAAAATTACAAATGCAATTCGTTATGTTTGATTACAATATGAACGGTTAAACTATTTTTAATCGATTTTCTCGTTAACATAACGTCGAAAATTAAAATTATGCTTTTGATTGGCGGACAAATAAAAAGAAAAGTGCGGTTCGCCATGTTAAATGCAAATTGAAAAGGAAGTTGTTGGACGTTCGATCGCTATCAGCCACTGTTGAACTTGCTGTGCCTCTCGGTAGCAGAAGTGCCACGTCCACATGTCTGGGATGAAAAATATTCTTTTAAACAAAAATCAAAACAAAGACGAATCTTGATTTTCGCGATTAATTAAAATAAAATTAAGGAAATTAAATTATAAAGGAAAACGGAAAAGATAAACTTATTTTAATATTAAAGCCACGCGAAAAAAATAGAAAAATTAGTAAATTAAAATTTTTATGAGACAAGACTAACAAAAAAGGAAATGTTAGTTAAGGTACGTGGTTCGTTCAACATCGAACGAAAGACGGTGTCGAATTGTATTCATAAACAATCGTCTTTCTCGGGAACCGATCTGGTCCGATTTCACCTGGTAACGGAGAATAATCAATCAGAAACCAAAAAGGGGATTAATAACCAATAAAGTGACAATTTGCGAGACGAAAAAATATTTTGGCCCAGGCCACAGGGACACTTGGTTCTTTGCCGTGGCATTCTACGAGACTATGTTCCTCGTCAGGGGCGGCCCTAGAGCGGTGCGAACTGTGCGACCGCACCGGGCGCTGTCATAGTGGGGGCGCCGAAAATGCAACGATAGATCGTCTGTGAAAAAAAATAAAACCCTATCACCTTATTACTACTTAACCCTATCCGCCAAAATAAATACCAAGATTAAAGAAACCAATATTTATACATTTACTTTCTTATTTTTATTTTTTTTTGTTCTCCGTAGAACAAAAAAAAAAATAAGAACTTTCTTTTTATTTCCTTTCTTCCCTTTGGGTCGGACCACCAATCCCAAGAACATAAGACAATGGGAGAGTTAATGCCCGAGGGTCGATAAGACCAAAAAAAAAAAAAACGAGGTAGTCTGGACGGGATCTCCGTGGGAGTAAGACGTGAAGAGAAGAGCGCTCCAGATTGCGAGTAGGCGACTAGGGGCTACTTGAGACTGAATAATTGCGAAGAAAGGACATTTTGGTTACGTTTAAAAAAATAGAAAACTTCAGAGTCAACAAGGATATACTACTCAAATACTTTATAAACTGCAGCCAAATTTATTAACAATTTCAAACGTTTTCGGTTTATCAAGAACGAATGGAGATCGAATGCAGACTGATTTGTATTAACAATAAGTGCGCTTTTGAGTTCCAAAATGCATTATCGATCTTATTTTTAGCTCAGTCCGATTCCGAAAAAAGAAAAGATTATTTAAATACGAGGTCGTAGATGAGAAACCAACAGATCCTAAAGAATTGTTTAAAATAAACGTCTTTTACCCTATGATCGATACAATTGAGAATGCGTTGGTCACTCGATTTACACAACTATCCAAATTTAATGATACATGGTCCTATTTATACAACATCAAAACAATTCATGAAAAGTCAAAATTCGAAAAAGCCTGTGCAAATTTAGAAATAAGTTTAACCGATGGAGAAAAATGTGACATATATGGTTGCGAATTGGTTGAGGAACTTTGACACCCAAATCCATTGTTGAAAGAGCTCGAATCATCAGAACCAATAAAAGTTCTTTAACTTCTTAAACAAAATGATTGGTAGGATATATTCCCGAATGTGTGGACAGCACTTCGAATTTTGCTGACCATACCTGTAACTGTCGCTAAAGGAGAACGAATTCTCAGTAAATTAAAACTTATTTACGTTTAACCATGTGTCGGGATAGACTGTCATATCTAGCAATTTTATCTATCAAAAATACTATTGCCTAGGAATAAAATTATTCTGAATTAATAACAACATTTGCAAGCGCAAAAGCGAGGAAGGTGGCAATGTAGGCTTTTTATTTTATTTCTTTTCTTAATTTGTTTCAATTTTAAATTAATTTACGATGTAAATTTGTCTTTGCGTGATGTGAGCGTTGTCTGTGCCATAGCAGTTTAAATATATATTGTTATGAATATTGCCTTGTAAAAAAAATGTTTTTTTTCACAGTTATTGTTCTTTATCCATACTAGTACTATGCTATAGATTTTACACAAGAGTGAGCAGGGTTGTGAGAATATAAAACACTAGCATCCCTTGTCACGGCCTTGCCCGCTCTTATGTACATATAGAAAGAACTTCGAAAATTTGAACAAATTGTTCATTAATTATAATTGTTCATTGATTACTTGTGGACAATCCACATGGTATGTGGAAACCCATTGTAATTTTGAAACTCCGAATAAAATTATTATTATGTTGCATGATTTTCTGCAATCTTTCAATGAGTTCTCTTTTCAAAGTTGAGTTTATATTCGATCGGGCTAATATCTGGTCAGGAGTGCTACCTTGACCGATGGAAATTGGAGGTTACGTTTTGCTGTGCTCCCGTTTTTGCGAAGTTATCGGTGGATTTTTTCGGTCTTTAGTGCGTGAATTATACATCGCTGGACTTGGGAAGACGTGCTGCTCACACTAGTATCACTGTTTTTTGCATATTCTGGCTTTCCGCGGAAATACGGACATCGAAACCCTGTGGACTTCCAGACCTACTTTCCGCATTTCTAGTGTAAGTGGACCGCTTTTATAATTTTAACGCGAAGTGTCTCTCCTGCCGTCATTTATTAATTACGCTATTACGACCGACTAAGACCCTGCTTTCGTCAGTCAAATTTGGTTGAACTTGTAAAAACTTTATACAGGACTAGGAAGTTTTTATTTCTGCATTTTTTCATTTCAAACAAAGGGCATTGTCTGGTCCACGTGCTCGTTGCTTGCCTCGAGGCAGTCAGAACATTCCAGGAAGCTCCTTTGTTCAGTGTCGCTCGCTGCTATATACAAGATTTTGTCACCACATTTCCTTTGCTTGGAGGCAAACAGGTGGCTGTCACTCAGAGAACCTTCTTGCTATTGCTAGTAGCTTTTAAAGGGTTGTTTTTATTGCAACATTTAGCAACCCGTTATTTGTTTATTAATTTTTAATTTATTGAAGGTGCATAGTCTATTAGTATGAATGTGCATATTTATTGCAAAAATCTACACAATGTTATTTGAAAATCGAATATTCGAAACAATATATATTTTTTATCTATAATGCAATAAATCCATGAAAAAATGCAACATAGTGAATATTTTAAGTCTATATATTATACTTATTATCCCGATGTATAGTGTTCAATGTGATTTTCAACACTATTATTTAAAGCAGTACGACATTAACGAAGGACAAAAGGATAGAAGAGCGACAATGGAAAGTATAGGTCTACAATAAGAAACATTATTTAAAGGTCGCTTACAAAAGTCATGTTGAATGCTATCAAATATCTGTAATTCTATTTTAAAATATAAAATAAACTTTAAGATCAAAATCTCATCTCAAGGTTGATATACACGTATAACACGTTTGTTAAGAATTCCCTTATGATATTGACTAAGATTTAGAAATGTGATTGTCTAAGTGTAGTTGCTTGGCAATTTATTCTATTTTAAAATGCATAAAAATACATTTTACTGTTTCTATCCTTGTCTACTTTGAATTATGTTTATTAATAGGACTTAACACGCTGGTATCGTTTTCGTATAGCTAATAGGAGAAAACTTAGTCAGGAAAAATAAAAAATTATAAATTTTCTATCATTTTTCTTGACAATTCTGAAATCTTATATTCCAAAATCGCGATTTCTATGCTTAAATTTAGAAAAATTATAAATCATATTCACGTTTTTCTCATAAAAAAAAACTGCTATTGTAAAAAATCATTATCATTAATCTTCAATAACCTTCGAGTGGATGAAAACCCTGAACACTGGTAATTTTTCGGGAGTTCGTACCTAACCGACTAGCTGCAACATGGAGTTTTCTAACTTTCCTCGCGTGTCTAACACCTAAATAGAAGCCAGTTTCTCATAGAAAGTACTCCCGACAGGCAGATTTAGGCAGATCGCAGTTTAGTATTTTCCAATTAAATAACGAATATTAACGTTTGGCAATTATTAAGAACAGATAAATTTGTTTGTTTCAAATATTAAATTAACGGCGAAGAATGGAAGAACGTTTTTATTAATAACATACAACCACATTAAGAAATCAAAATATGTAAATTTAACAACTAAGATATTCACACTATTTCACACATTCATTCACTAAATATTACTCGACTATGATTGATTTATAAATATCAGATTAAAAAATAATGTTTTTTTTGCACAAAATATTTTTAAGTAACGAGATTCACTAATATCATTTTCGTGACAAAAGGCAATTTCATGACAATTTAATTCTATTCCACAGGTATCCATTGGAAAAGGCTGAAGGAGAGCCCATAATACCTCTGATAAACTTAGGAGGAGTGTTTATAGATAAAAATAACTTAGTGAGAGACTTCAAAGCAGTAAGACTCGTATATCAATTAGATATTGGTACGAAATTGAAGAATCTAATTTCGTCCAGATGGGAAAATGAAGTTTTAGCAAAGTTATCGGATTTGAAATTTAAATATATCAAATTTTCTTATTTCGTCGGAGGCACTTTTGACAATGAAGCAAATAAAAACAGTCAGCACTCTTGGTACCTGATTATAATACTCGGTGCTGTTATGGTATGTTTTTCGGCATTGTCTTCGTGTTCTAGAGGTGTCGCTAGCAAACCTTTACTGGGTGTCGCAGCTTGTCTTTCGGCATTTATATCTACAGCTTCTGCCTTTGGATTATTATTGCATTGTGGAATGGAGTACGTCGATATAAATATGGCTATTCCGTTTCTTATGTTAGGTAAGTATATGTATTTTGAATAAGTACAGTGAAGTTTAATAGCGTATATGATATTATACTAAATTTGTATCGATAACAGGGCCTTCAATCAGTAGAAAAAGTAAAATGTTATTTATAAATTCTTATTTTTCTAAACTGAGTTACTTATTACTCATTGCTATGCGATCCTGTAAGGCTAAACTGCGTCAGACATTAGTTAAATATTGAATAAATTCAACCTGTAGAAAAAAGTTTTCGAACAACAAAAACGTTGCGAAAATTATTGATCTGAGGAATTTTTTTATTTGTTAAGAAAGAATCCCAGAGTTATTAAAATTCTGAAGTTTATTTCTAATGCCAAGAGCCTTTGTTATTCAAAATATCACACTGGGAAAACAATTATTAGTATAACGAAATAAAATCCCGACAACTTAGTCTGGGAAAATTTTCGCGCAAATTTCTATCTCTAGAAACAGTTTTCCAACGTAGTAAAAAAGAATGAAATAGAAATTCTTGTATATTTACTTGGGTCACTTTAGCGTTTATAACAGCTTCAATGCGTAATGGCCCTATTTTCTCAAGTTTATGTTATCGTTACTTTCCTTTCAACTCTGTAACGAAGCAATTTTCAAATCTTCCTTTGTTGTATGTCGTTTTTCATTCATTAAAATTTCCAGTTTAATAACAGATTTATATGTTATTGAAATCTGTTCGGTGGCCGAGGTATAGATTTGACGTTAATTTTTTCAAATATTTTTTTCTTTTTTTTTACATATTTCGTACGATGAAAACTTGCATTATCATCCTGGAAAAACCTTCCTCATTCCCAAATTGATTTTTCACCATAGGAATCACTAAGAGAGAAGCCTGGTGTTTCCCCGGCAAAAAATAAGTAAAAACATTCAGATTAGTGAATTATTTAGTATGTCTAACAGTTCTATTATATCATATTATATTATTTCATTTTATATAATTACATACGTTATTTTTCGTATGGGTTTTTCCCACCAAATTACCAATGTAATCTATATATATAAAAATGAATGTATGTCTGTCTGTCTGTCTGTTCGTCCTTAATGCATTATCACACCGTTTATCCCATTGCTATGAAGCTTTGGGAAGTTCTTTAATACACTCCCGCGAAGGTTTCTGACATAGTGCATTTATCCTACGATAGTTGGCGCGCGTTTATACTGTGTATTCTATCGATTTCAAATTGTGAAGACCATTTCCCCCTCCAAAAAATATCTCTATATATGCATTTGTGAACTGTTATTTACGATATTTGTAATAATTTTTGTTTAATCACTTTATTTCAAGTATTTTTTGCTAATTATGTATTCGCTCGAACTTTGTTAAAACCTTAAGTGTATCCCGAACAACAACCGAAGTTGTAGGAGGAAATTCGCCTATTTTACCGATCTAGGGATCACCCCTTTTCCAAATTTTAATATCGACTCAAAATAATTTAAAAACACATATTACAATAAAACTGTTTATTATCCAACTATCAGAAATTTCACAACGTGCCAAGGAAGAAAAGAAGGAGCAATTAAATAATTAAAATTGTAAAGGATTAAAAATATGTATATAAAAATAGGGAATATCGCACTTCTGACAATCGCTGCGAGTGTGTGGGCTAAATTTAAAGAATCCGTGCTTCTCGCATGTACAACTGTATGTGGCCGGCTCACGCGTCGGAAATTCTTCTGATTTATTCGTGTACGCACCAGACGGAAAAACAAAAAATATCGTGTATCTACAAGCACTCCAATAAATAAATAGAATTGAAACGACACTTTGAAATGTTTTCCCGATGAAAATGAATAATAATAATAATGTAATAATAATAATAATAAGTTAAAATAAAAATGATAAAATGTAAATTGAATTTTATTATAACGAGTTTGCTTGAATTTCGTTTCTTCTGAGATCGCAGCAATGCGCGACAGGTAAGCTAGTACGTTATAAAAATTCTTGAAATTGTGTACAGTAGAAAAAGAAAATTTTGAAAATGTCTTAAATTGGTCACTCGGTATGATAAATTTTTACGTAAAGTAATGTTTGTAGTTATATAAATGAATAAATACTATGATAAATATTATGGTCAGATACAATGAAAGTAGAGATTAGACATGGAAATTGTTAGAGAAGGAAGACCAGATTAACTATGTATCAACTTCCAATGTGTATCTCGAGTCACTTTATTACAATTCAACAATTGTATGCTGGCATGCAATTCGATATCAAAACCTCCAACTGAATTCTTTTTTATGCAAAAGACATTGCTTTCGAAAATTTTCGTTTTCTCTGACCAATACAAATTATCCAGTAAAGCTTCTACGTCCAACACAGAGTTTGCTTTTATCACAAAAATATGCTCTTCGCAATCATTAATGGGCCACTTTTTGGTAATGCCTTGGTCATTCCATTTGTTTTTTCACGTGTTGTTTTGCGGTCAATGGTTTTGTTTTAGCTTTGCAAAGCGATTTTGTAAGCAAATGAATCATAAGGCACAAACTCGGTTCTTTCCTGTTGTTTTCGGTCTGTCAGCTTTTCAATGTTTATACACTTCCAGATATCTTATATTTCTTTGTTTAATTTACTTGTTAGTATTGAAACGGCAAAATTAAGCTTTTGAGTAACTTTCTGTTTTCTCTTTCGGAATCAAAGTCACATCCTCACTATTTTTAGCAGGACCCGTTTTAAATCGATGTAAAAGAAACGATAATGGAAATTACATGCACGCAATATTTTCAGTCGACTAATCCGCATAAACCAACGATTATAGACAAAACTAACCGATCGAAAAACATTTTACACACTGATTTGGATGTTTCTTTTTTAAATTCCTAATCATTTTTTAACTGCAATATTCTGCTAATAATCCAGATTGAAAGAAGCTCGTAGAAGGAAATGATTTCGAACTTGAAGTAAACACGAACGACCTGTTGCTAATATCTGTGTATTTTGAACGATCTTTTTCAGCGTACAAAAATATCCTTTTACATGAGCCTAGAAAATCTACACTTGAAAATAGTTTTTACTGTATGAGTTAATACGTTTCCTTCCACAAATGATTAATTACATTTCATTTTGGCTTGAATCAAAGGTTTACGTTCGTGTTGTAATATACTCGAAAAATCATTCTCTTTCAATACCGACTTATAAGAAGTTAATTTTAACATTTTATAATTTTTTAAAAAGTTTCTAAGATTTAAACGATACTTTTTTAATAAACCAGAAAAAAAAACATTTTTTAATAAGCTATACAGTAGACCTTCTATAACACTGTAGATAATTCCATGTTATATGAATTCCATGTTGTACGAGTCACTTAGATTTTAAAAATACGTGTGCCGGGCTGTGAACGGCTCACGCACGTATTTGTAAAATCTAAGTGACTCGTACAACATGGAATTCATATAAAACGGAATTATCTAGTGTTATAGGGTCTATTGTATTACCTCCAGATGCATTTCGCCTTGATCAAAACAAGGCCTTATAGTACATCATCTAAATTGAAATTAATCTTTGAAAGTTGTTAAGACAACCTATGTCATATTATAAGAAAAATTCCTCAAGAATCATGTTTAAAGACATATTTTCCTACTACTACTCACGGCGATAGGAAAGTATCTTTATCACGATGCCATCTAATATTTGATACAATTTACGAAAAAAAGACTTCCATTGCCATAGCATCGGATTATACTATGCTGATAACCAAAATCGTTCAAAAGAACAAAATTCGAGCAGAGTTCTGCTTGTTTTTATATAAATGAAAGTTGATTAAGCTTATTTTTGCATATTCAACTCTATCACTTAAATACTTTTAAACTGCGGATTTATATTTATTAGTGTTTAGAAATGATATTAAACTCGTTTGTTATTAATGTAAAACTGTAACGACACTAAACAGACTATTTCTACAGGTATCGGCATCGACGACTCTTTTGTACTTTTATCTGCTTGGAGACGTACAGACAGCAACGACGAAGTGAAGAAAAGAATGAGCGATTCTTACTCCGAGGCTGCAGTTTCCGTTTCTGTCACTTCTATAACCAATATTCTTGCCTTTTGTACAAGCCTTATCACTCCTTATACGGTTGTACGGATATTTGGTACATATTGTGCAGTGTCGTTAGTCTTCGATTACATCTATCAAATATTTTTCTTCGGTGGGATTATGGCTCTGGAAGGTTACAGAGGAAAACGAAATCTTCATCCGTTATTTCTATTTCCACTTAAACCAATTATTTCAGGTAACAAAATGCGGAAAATAAACGAAAATAATCACTTTTTTTCTTTTCATACATTTTTACAAAGACGTTTTACGTTTTTCAGATGAAAACGAAAGAAGTTCACAAGAATTATACATCATGGTATTCTTGCGAGATGTTGCAGGGAAATATTTACAAAAACTGTACATTAAGATATTATTAGCTGTACTATATACTTGCTATTTAGCGGGGGGAATTTATTGCTTGAAATACATTAAACAGGGACTAGATTACAAAAAAATATTTCCGAATACCTCATACGCTGTTCCTTTCATACTTGATTCTTATGAATATTTCACACTTCACCCGCACAGAATACAAATTGTTATTAACCAGACTTTAGATTATTCCGATGTACAAACTCAAAAAGATGTCGAAAGCCTTGTAAATACTTTCGAAACTGCTCCGTTTATCAGTGGCTATCTTACAACAGAATGCTGGCTGAGAGAATATCTATCTTTTAGCGAAAGTGCACTTTCTAAATTGGCCTTCAAAGGATATAACTTGAACAATCCCTATGAGTTTTTGGATGGATTGAAAAATGTGTTTTTAAATGTAAGAAGTTTCCGCAGATTTCGAAACGACGTCGTTTTTAATACTGATGGGGGTCGGATTTTAGCGTCCAGATTTTATATTCTTATCTATAATGTAAAAAACGCCAGTGCAGAAACGACAATGATGGAAATAGTTCGTAAAATAGCGGATAATAGTAAATTTAAAGTACAGCAATACTTCGATTTACGCTACCCCGACTTACGCGAACCCGTAGTTACGCGATTTTCAAATCTCGTCGATTCGTCTTTTGTTTGAGCGCCACGCATCTCTCGATTATTCACTCCCCCCACAGTATTAAGCTTACACGTTCGGACGTACCGCGCGGAATCGACACATAGCTACAATTTATTTTGTGTTATTTATTTCTGTGTTTGTTATATCTAAGGAGACTTCAGAGACTCTATGTGGTGATTTTTTCTAACCGTGAACGAATCAAAAGACAAGATAAAATTAACGAGAACATTTATTACCTTAAATACATTCGACTTTACACAAATTGCAAAATTATACCTCGACTTACGCGAATTCGACTTACGCGGTTAATCGCTCGGTCCCACCTATCGCGTAAGTTGGGGTATTACTGTATACGTACATGACCCATGGTTCGTTTATTATGACCAATACTTAAATGTGACAACAACTTGCATTCAGACAGTATGCCTTTCCGCATTATTGATATCCCTAGTACTTGTCTTATTCATACCAAATTTCACATGCACTATATCTGTCATGTTAACTGTAGTCTCCATAGAGGTGTGTATAGTTGGATACATGTCTCTGTGAAACGTTAATGTTGACACTATTTCCATGATCATTCCAGTTATGAGTGCGGGGTTTTGTGTAGATTATTCCGCTCACATCACGTACGCTTACATAAGTAGCGAAGAAAGCGATCCTGCGGGTAAGATGAAATACGCATTATACGCTGCGGGTTATCCAATAATTCAAGGATGTGCTTCGACAATTCTTGGGGTATCGGTTCTGTATTTCGGTAATAGTTACTTGTTGGTTATATTTTTCAAAATTTTGCTTCTAACAATGACATTTTCTGCATTCCACGGGTTAATTTTGTTGCCAGTAATTCTTAGCACTGGAGATTCTATAGCGCTTTCTTGGAAGAATAAAACGAATAGAAAAACTTCCGTATAATAAAGCATAAAGACAATGATTTGAGAAATAATAATGACCAACGAGACGTTGAATGATCTTTTATTGAAAAATAATGAATACTTATTCTGTCACATTTATAGTTTTCTTAGATAGTAGGATAATTGCTCTGATTTCAAGCATCTTCGTGAACTTTTTATGAAGTTATATTTATGATACAGGAAATTGTTTATTAACATGTTTTCATGTATGACGTCAATAGTTTTACATTGTTTTTGTAAATTTGTTCCCATGTTTATATGAACAACGTAATCCCAACGTTATGTGTATAATCCTATTATTGTATAATTCCAACGTTAATGTGTTTTTTCAGATCTCTTGATTCAGAGTATTGTCTCTGGTCCATTGCCTCTGTCAAAAAATTTATGACACTTTGTCTTTCCATGTCAATTTCTGTCTTTCTCATTTTCTATTTTGCATCACTTCCTGCTTTTTAATCCTCTTTCTAACGCAGTCCTTACTTCTCTCCACGTGTCCGAACCATCTTAATCTATTTAATAAATATAAAATGTAAAAATACAGAGCATTCACAAAGAAAAACCTTTGTCTTTGCTTTTTTCATTTCCGTCGTTGCACATTATCAGTATTCCACTAAAATTACTAAAAAGTACAGAGACGATCTTCCTTTGTAGGCTGCATCTTCTGCAATAAAACATGCAAAAATGGTAAAACGTTCTCTGTTGTTTCGCCACAATCATAATAAACACATAATAAGCACATCTTAATATACTTTCCATTAGGTCCCATATTGAGTGTTCCTCTTATGTAATCGTTCCTTATTCTGTGCTGATTCGTCATATCACTAATTCCTATTTCTATTGTTTCCATCTTCTTGGTTTCCTGTAACTGTCCACATCTTGGCACTGTACATCATTGCAGGTCCTACCACGGTTTGTAAAATTTTTTTATTATTTTGCACTTTATATTCTTTTCATACAGCATGCCATTTATCTCTCTCCATTCTAGCCGTCTTTTTTGACTCTATGCGGCATATTCGCACTCATTCCATCGCCACTTGCTATATATGATGCAAGATACTTAAATTTAAAAATCTATAATTAACTTCTCATCCTTGAGTTGGTTCTAAATCTTCACCAGATGTCATGTATACTGACTCTGTTCTATCTTCAGGTTTTTCTCTCCCAGCACTTTTCTCCATTTTTCCAGCGTCTTTTCGCGCGGTGCAATGTCGTCCGCGAACAGCATGCTCAACGGTGTCTTGCTCTTCACATCTTCCATCAATTCATCTATCACCAAATCAAACATCAACGGGCTGAGGGATGAATTCTGTTGTAGTTCATCTCATAGTAAATCCTTCCGCCATAACACACTACTCTTTACGAGATTCATTATTGCTTCATACATTTCCTTTGCAAATGTTACACTATTCTTTGGTATTTTTTGTACTCATACATCTTTATATCTCCTGTCTAAGCACCATGTTGTACGCTTTCTGCAGGTCTATGAATATTATATGTAATCCTGCCTGAGTAAATTTCAAATTGTTTGTCAAAAAGAGCACCTTACGACTTTTTGAACTTAGTTTAATTCCTTTTATTTGACGACTATGTACTGTACCTTGGAAATACTTATATATGTTGTATGTAATTGATTGACATCAGTATGTTTAGTTATTATTTTTTTGCAAGTGCTAGAGCGTTAATGGCGTTAATTTTATAATAAATCCTATGCTATCTATTGTGTTGTTTAATTCACTAACTGTAAGTCCCATATCGTATATTATGTAGTACATATAGATTTGATCTTACCATTTTTATAAGTATGTAATTTGTCAGATTACAAAGTACTCCTTTTCAAAAAAGTTCCGGTGGAAGTATTCTATAGTCTGACAAATTCGATCATCCGACACCGCCTTGCAAAACGTTTGTCGGATTACCGCGGGTCTACTGTACTACAATTTTCTTTTTACGTCATTAAATATTACACCTGAAGTACACACATACTTCCATCAGTAACAATATATTCTTTGGCATATCCGACAGCTAGTTTTGTTAAACTTTTCTCTCCTGCTTAGTACTTTTGGCATTTCTTCTAATAAATCTTTTACTGTTAAATCAGTCAACATTCGCAACTAGCCCCGAAAAAAGCATAACTGTTACTTCAGTCACGTACGAAAAGAAGTAGATTAAGTGCTGTCCATAAATTACATAATATATTTTTAGAGAAATTTTGATCTCTCTCTTCCTGACAACACTTCCTAGCAAATCTGCAATTCCTTCCCATTTATGACAATACTTTTCTGCATCCCGAATCTTTTACGAGAAAAATCATTTACTAGACAGTTGCGTCTAGTGACGAAAACCAAATCGGATTTCAAATATAATTATTAAGTTTATGATTTGGAATTAAGTTCGAAATGTAACACAGATGAAAATCATTTCGGAAATGCGTAACCCCTAAAAATAAGGCGATACAGTATTTAAAGTTAAAATAGCCCAAGTGAATACGAAACGTGTGTGTGAGGGGGTCGAGGGGGAGATATCAAAACGAAAAAATAACGATTACAGGTATACCTCAACTTACGTCGTTTCGAGTTACGTCGTTCCCGATTATACGTCGTTTGTCAAAAAAGTATACGGAAAAATAAAAATCAAGTTTAAGTCATTTTATTCGACTTTACGTCCGTCCTCCACAAATATTGAAGTCGTAATATCACTAGAAAAGCGTTTAAAGCACATAAAATCATATTAAAATATATACATTTACAAGTATGTACTGTATTTACAGTACAGTACATGCATTCGTAAATTTAGATTACTTTTTTCTGTACTCTATTAAAAACTAAAATTTATTTGTTTGTAAGCTTAAAATAGATTCTTATTAACCATATATTATTAAAAATGCATTAATAAATAAAATACAGAACTGGGAATAGTAATTTATCGTTTAGCCTAGTGACAAGTAGATTGGAGACAAGTAAATTCGACTTACGTCGTTTTTCGACTTAAGTCGTTTTCCTGGAACCAATTACCGACGTAAGGCGAGGTATACCTGTATATGTGATATCGTTATCGTCTCCATGCCTTCTGGACTGCCGAGTTGTAACAGTCAGCATCATGTGGGAGCGGTTCAGTCAGAGATCGATGCCTCGTTTACAAACAACACAACCCGTTCATTAGACAATTAACTTACAAATAGTTCTATAGTGACGAAGAATTTAAGTCGTTGCATAATTCGGCGCGTAGTCTGCAAAGAAGAAGTGGAAAGTCCAGCGACGAGGGTGTTTTCCTATCGCTGATCAGATGTTGCATTCCAAGTTCTGTTCTCATACAGGAAACGATGTCCGGTGAATGAAGATCAAACTGTCCGAAGTTTCTCTCAACGAAGGTCTATAACTTTCGGAGGATACATCGGCAAAGGACGAAGATGGAACCTTGCGGGAAGCACCCCAACGAGGAACAGTGACGGCCCTAGCCAGATTTTCAGGTGGTGCGAGATCTCATTGTGGAGCCCCTTGTAGAGACTAAACTGATAATGTACAGTTTTCACATTATTAATAACTCAGACCTCCGAAAGAGTAGTATAGTAATACTATGGATGAGAAACGATAACGACAGTAAATGGAGAATTAACTTGACCCTTGTTAATTCAGACGTATCGCAAGCTGTTACGTTTCTCCCTTCCTCGATGGAATCTCTTAATTTTAGATTATAGAGATATAGCACACATTTCAGGATCATCTATATCTATATCTATATACTATATAAAGAGACAACGTATTTTTCGTTTGTGACCAGGCTGGTATACACGGTAAGGAAATCCTCAAAAGATGTGCTTAACAGACGAAAAAAACTCGGATATAACTGGCTGGATCGAACATAGTAATTTACAAAACTTATTAAAATACCTCCCAACGTATAAAGAATTATTTTTATTTAAAAATGGACAGATAGAAAAAAAATCGCGGTTAATCCTCAAAGGATTTCCTTACCGTGTATACCAGCCTGAAAACTACTGAACCAATCATTACCAAATTTTAACTGTAGCATTTTTATGATCCCCGGAATGTTTACCACTAATCAAACCTACAGATTTTTTATGAATTAAATAAAACTGCAACTGATTTTTGTCTGTCTATTTCTCTCTCTCTTCACTAGATGGCGACACAAAAATTAGTACTTTCTGTCTATAAGAAAAGTCGATTATTGAAGTTTACTATTATATTAAATTATAATTAGTTAATTAGCAAAATCTTCGAGGAAATAAAAAAGTAACGTCATCATGCTATATGGCAGTATGTGTACTTATGGCAGGTTTTCGAATCATTACGCGTTAATATCTGCGGGTAATTGTCATGGGCGTAGCCAGAGTTTTGTTATGGGGGGGGCCTAGTGGAGGCCAACCTGACACAAAATTGAATTATTTCAAATTATTGTTCATTATTGGGCACCGAGCAAGCCGTTCACCTTTTTTTAGTATTCAAAACTTTTATTTTAGCTTTAGGTTTTTCCTGGGGAGGGCACCAGGTTCCCTGGGAGGGGCCGTGCCCACCCAGGCTCCCCCCTCGCTACGCCCATGGTAATTGTACAAAATATTCGAAATAGTAATTGGATTTATCTCAAGTGAATATTTTTGAGATTGATTGATAAATAACGCCGAGGGCTGCGGGAGCACGAATAGGAAGAAAATGTTTTAAAGCTGTTATTGTTTATAATTGTAGGCAAGAATCTACAGCAGAGCGGTCTCAAAGACTGGAAGAGAAACGAATTCATTCGGCTCAGAATCGAATGCGTATAGCAAGGAATTTTTTAGGTTTTGAATCAGCTTTTGATTATCATCCTGAAAATGACTATTTGGATATGAAAGAGGTAAAATGATCAAAATATGTGATCATTGTTTTGCCAAAAAATAGTATGATGAAACTCATAGACTTTGCTGTGTTGAGGGGAAAATTGTTCTTGAACAACTTGAAGAACCTCCTGATTTCATTAAAAATTTAATTTTAGGAACAGATCCTCTTTCTATACATTTCTTAAACAATTCTATACAGTACAACACTCTATTTCAAATCACATCACTTGGAGCCAAAGAAATAAGACAAGGGAATTTCATGCGTACATTTAAAATCCAGGGACAAGTTTATCATTTGATTGGCAGTTTACTTCCTAATCCAGAAGACACTCCTATATTTTTAAAGATCTATTTCATGTCTGAATCTGAGCAGATATTAGCCCGATCGAATATAAACTCAACTTTGAAAAGAGAACTCATTGAAAGATTGCAGAAAATCATGCAAGATAATAATAATCTTATTCGGAGTTTCAAAATTACAATGGGTTTCCACATACCATGTGGATTGTCCACAAGTAATCAATGAACAATTATATTTAATAAACAATTAGTTCACATTTTCGAAGTTCTATATGTATATAAGAGCGGGCAAGGCCGTCACAAGGGATGCTAGTGTTTTATATTCTCACAACCCTGCTCACTCTTGTGTAAAATCTATAGCATAGTACTAGTATGGATGAGGAACAATTACAGTGAAAAAAGAACAATATTTCTTTCACAAGGCAATATTCATAACAATATTTATTTAAACTGCTATGGCACAGACAACGCTCACATCACGCAAAGACAAATTTACATCGTAAATTAATTTAAAATTGAAACAAATTAAGGAAAGAAATAAAATAAAAAGCCTATATTGCCATCTTCCTCGCTTTTGCGCTTGCAAATGTTGTTATTAATTCAGAATAATTTTATTCCTAGGCAATAGTATTTTTGATAGATAAAATTGCTAGATATGACAGTCTATCCCGACACATGGTTAAACGTAAATAAGTTTTAATTTACTGAGAATTCGTTCTCCTTTAGCGACAGTTACAGGTATGGTCAGCAAAATTCGAAGTGCTGTCCACACATTCGGGAATATATCCTACCAATCATTTTGTTTAAGAAGTTAAAGAACTTTTATTGGTTCTGATGATTCGAGCGCTTTCAACAATGGATTCGGGTGTGCCTCAACCAATTCGCAATCATATATGTCACATTTTTCTCCATCGGTTAAACTTATTTCTAAATTTGCACAGGCTTTTTCTAATTTTGACTTTTCATGAATTGTTTTGATGTTGTATAAATAGGACCATGTATCATTAAATTTGGATAGTTGTGTAAATCGAGTGACCAACGCATTCTCAATTGTATCGATCATAGGGTAAAAGCCGTTTATTTTAAACAATTCTTCAGGATCTGTTGGTGTCTCATCTACGACCTCGTATTTAAATAATCTTTTCTTTTTTTGGGATAGAACTGACCTAAAAATAAGATCGATAATGAGTTTTGGAACTCAAAAGCGCATTTATCGTTAATACAAATCAGTCAGCATTCGATCTTCATTCGTTCTTGATAAAGGTCATTAAAGATGACCGAAAACGTTTGAAATTGTTAATAAATATGGCTGCAGTTTATAAAGTATTTGAGTAGTATATCCTTGTTGACTCTGAAGTTTTCTATTTTTTTAAACGTAACCAAAATGTCCTTCCTTCGCAATTATTCAGTCTCAAGTAGCCCCTAGTCGCCTACTCGTAATCTGGAGCGCTCTTCTCTTCACGTCTTACTCCCACGGAGATCCCGTCCAGACTACCTCGTTTTTTTTTTTTTTTTTTTTTTGTCTTATCGACCCTCGGGCATTAACTCTCCCATTGTCTTATGTTCTTGGGATTGGTGGTCCCACCCAAAGGAAAAAAAGGAGATGAAAAGAAAGTTCTGGAAAGACAGCGAACAAAAGGAATAAGAAAGTAAATGTATAAATATTGGTTTCTTTAATCTTGGAATTTATTTTGGCGGGTAGGGTTAAGTAGTAAGAGGTGATTGGGTTTTATTTTCTTCGCAGACGATCTATCGTTGCATTTTCGGTGCCTTCATTATGACGGTGCCCAGTGCGGTCGCACCGTTCGCACCGCCCTAGGGCCGCCCCTGACGAGGAACGTAGCTTCGTGGAATGCCATGGCAAAGAACCAAGTGTCCCTGTGGCCTAGACCAAAATATCTTTTCGTCTCGCAAATCGCCCCTTTTCGGTCTCTGATTGGTCTTTCTCCGTTACCAGGTGAAATTGGACCAGATCGGTTCCCGAGAAAGACGTTTGTTTATGAATACAATTCGACACCGTCTTTCGTTCGATGTTGAACGAACCACGTACCTTAACTAACATTTCCTTTTTTGTTAGTCTTGTCTCATAAAAATTTTAATTTACTAATTTTTCTATTTTTTTCGCGTGACTTTAATATTAAAATAAGTTTATTTTTTTTTCGTTTTCCTTTTATATTTTCATAGTTTTTTAAGGGGTGAGGCCTCGCATTTGTGACTGTATCGGGCTTCATCAAGCACTAAATTCATATATTAAAAAAATAAATTANTTAATTTACTAATTTTTCTATTTTTTTCGCGTGACTTTAATATTAAAATAAGTTTATTTTTTTTTCGTTTTCCTTTATAATTTAATTTCCTTAATTTTATTTTAATTAATCGCGAAGATCAAGATTCGTCTTTGTTTCGATTTTTGGTTAAAAAAATGTTCTTCATCTCAGATATGTGAACGTGGCACCTCTGCTATCGAGAGGCACAGCAAGTTCAACAGTGGCTGATAGCGATCGAACGTCCAACAACTTCCTTTTCAATTTGCATTCAACATGGCGACCCGCACTTTTTTTTATTTGTCCGCGGTTCAAAAGCATAATTTCACTTTCTGATGTTATGTTGGCGAGAAAATCGATTAAAAATAGTTTAACCGTTCATATTGTAATCAAACATAACGAATTTCATTTGTAATTTTCAGCAAAAGCTTGGAAAGTGGGGGAATGATGCTAATTGAGGAACATGGTAAAAGGGGGAATAATGGTAATTGAGTAACATGGTAAAGGGAACGATATTGAATGAGGAACATGAGTTGGATGTTGCTAAGTGAGGAACATGGATGGAGGGAATGTTTCCTAGTGAGGAATATAGCAAAAGGGGGCATTAGTGAAGAACATAATAAAAAAGGGAGTGCTGAAAAGTGAGGAACATGCTGAATGAGAGAAATATACAAACTAAGGATCGGTTTAAATGCATCGAGTAATCATTTCGGGATGGTTATTTATTGTTACCTAAAAAATAAGACATGTATTAAAAGTAGTGCGGCATCAGAGATTCCTAAGCTTAGTATATTTTCATCTTTATACATTTTATTGTCAGCAATTGTTAATGTTGGGGCATTTTTAGGTAATATTTTCGAAAAATAAGAATAAATGTTTCCTCTGTAAATCAGAATAATATGTCAGCTGATAACGATAATGAAAAACACTATATTTTCACATTTTGTAAATAAATAGCTTGATTTTATAAACGATTTTGCAAGATATTTTACAACTATTTTTATATACGCATATAATTAATGAACCTAATTTAAATTTAAAATACAATTGAAAATATTATGTATAACTTGCTATGATTTGTCACGTAAATACTATTATAAAGTTATATTATAATGTGTTATTTTCTCCAATAAATATTGAAAATATATAAGTAAAAATTAATATTTAAATATAGAAAAATATGTTTTAAACAATATTAAATTAGAAGTATTACAGTGGTCAAACTAAACCATACAGGATATTTATCACGTTCTAACATTTAAATGTATTACTGTTGTTATAATGTAATTTGTTTTTATTATTAATTGATAACACTCAGTCGAAAGTATTTAGTACAATATTCTAGCTTAAGTTTACAAATTTATTTTAGTGTTAATGCGTGTAAAATTTTATCAAAGACAGTTAACATTGAAAAAAGTTCAACGAGTTGCATAACTTTCCCGACATAAAGAGTTAAAATTGCATGCGGCGCCATATTTTGTAAAAGGAGCACGGTCGTTATCACTTTGACTCCATTGTATATGTAAAACGAAGTCACGAACCACCATTTTTATAAAGCCTTTTGATTCCTCGTCACAATAAATAAAAAATGGCAATGTTTAATCAAAATCGATCGATCAACTTCTGAGATTGAACGCAATATTTCAAGCTACATAGAAGAGGCTTCGTTTAACCTTCTAAAAGTTATTTCAAATAGAAAAAAATCTCGATTAGAATTTCGGTTTTTCTATTAACTTAAAAGAAAACCTTCATTTTAGTTTTATAACTGAAGGAAGTTTATTTTAAAATTGTTTTCGTATTAAGTATTGTAATTTCTTAATTTTTGACCTTCGATTGTATCTTTTGAATGGAATTCTTCATTTTTATGTGAATTTTCATTTTATTGTTCTGTGCCATTTAAATAATAGATATAAGTAGAAGGAAAAATACTTTAAAATACAAAACAGAAAATAATATATATTTAAAAATGAACGTTTCTGATAAAACATCGAAGAATCGTAAATCTCTGGGTTTAAATTCAAATCTGGGATTTTATTCAAATATTTTACAACAGCTCTATAAACTTTCAACGGATTTTAATGTATTTAACGTAGTTAAATACTTTTAATAAATTCGTTTGAGCTGCTCTAACTAAATCTAATTTAATGAATAATTTGAGCTGCTCTAACTAACTAGAACTTAAACTGTCGACATCTACGGAATATTCTCATTAAGTAAAGGTCACAACATAATTTAATGTTATGATATAACTTAATTATATAGATATAGTAAATTATCACCTTTTATAAATACATATTTGTAATTTTATAACTTCTAGAATGACATTTTTAGATTATCCATGCTTTATTTTCAAACAAGTAGGCTACTGTTAGAGCTTGCAGTTTTAATCTTCCTGTCACTGCCCATAGAAAACGGCATTACAATTAATTTAAATAATAGTTAAAATTACAAACTGGCAATAGACTCTTCTCATCGTTGATTATATTAATCAGATTAATTTTAATATATGGACATTTTTAATGCTTGAGAAACCAGTGTAAATGCTGTAGTGTCAGCTATCCGAGTAACATAAAGTATGAAGTAAAAATAATGAAAAACGAACGAATTAAGAATGAATTATTCAAAATTATCAAGATTTTTTATATTTTAATTGACTATTTGATATCTTGTTATTGATTCTTTTATTTTACGAAGAAGTTTAAGAGTTGAAACTTATGGCATTTCGCCAATTGCGTTTTTTTGTATATCAGAATTAAAATAATTTTTAAAATTACATTTGTTACGTCATCTGCCGAAAGTTGTTTTACATTAATGTCACGTATAGGCAACGCGTTTAAATAAAAGTTTGCGCAGACGTGGGTTATCAGTAAACATCATAAGTTTAACTCAACAGACAGTAGCCCGAAACATTTTTTTTCACACGAATACTCTCTTATAAAGTGTAAGTATGCTTAATTTTAAATATTTTAATATTATATGATTTTTATAATATTTTTTAGACTTTATTTGTGGAAAATTTTTATCCGAAATATTTCTTTATTTATTAGTTAAATTTCAGTAAAATATTGCATTCTGTATATAAAATTAATAGAGAAATGGTATAGTGGGACGGATACCGGGCTTACCGCTTTGGAGGAACCGAAATCGAATTCGGCTGGTAGAAAAGCTCCAGAAATTTTTCTTATATGTTCTGTCAGTCATCACCCGGCAGCCTCCATTGTCGTCCCGTCTTAACCCACGATGGGTACGATTAAAAAGCCTATAGAGTAGAAAGACTCAAAAATGAAAAACATAATTGATTATAATAATAAACTATATAATTTTTTCAAATTCTTAAAAGTTTAAAAAAGCAATTAATCCAAAAATATTGATTCCAGGTGGCCATGGCATGCGATTATATCAGACGAGCGGTTTCTTATGCTTTTTCTCGTGTTGGATATCACATCGGATGTCATCCGCTGGCGTACACCATAGTACCTTTTCTGATATCTTTAATACTTTCGACTGGATTTAAAGAATTGGAATTAGTCAAAAGTATAGAATATCTCTTTATCCCAATCCACGCCAGATCCAGAACGGAGAGAAATGTTGTCGAATCGCTGTTTCCATCAGATTTTTCAAAAGATTACGACTTTTTAAGAACTTCTAGATTCGGAAGATATGCAGCTGTTATTGCCACTGCCAAATACAACGATTCTATGCTGGACGAATCGGCAATGGATGATTTATTTGAAATGGATAAGACAATTAGAAATATTAGTTTTATCTGGAGGAACACAACAATCAGTTATGAAAGAATTTGCGCCAAGACAATATACGACGAATGCCTTAGAAACTATGCTTTGTCTTTAAGGGGAAAAGTGAAAAGCATTAAATTAGGAGAATACAAAATCAAGTAAGGCTTTTTATATAAAATTTTGCAGAAGCTTTTTATTTACAAGTTATTAAACCTGCAAAATATTATTTTAGTAAATATCAAATATTTAATTATAAAACAAATTGGAAATATATCAGTGTATTAATTTTGTAATGTTTATAGTGTATGTGTTAATTAGTGTAAATTTAGTATAAATTCAATACAATTTAACCTTACTTTGAAGTGTCGTTTGAAGTGGTACAGGGAACAATTCTGCCAAAAAGCAGTTTTCCTGTAGTTAGCATTCATAGAAATTTTCTTATAGCCAATTAATTAAATTATTTCCAATAGCCAGTTATATGATTACAGTACAGTAGAGTTACGATACTTCGTGTTGATCGGAAACGAAACAACCTCGAACTATCGAAAACTCGAAGTGTACGGAATATATAGACTATACATAATGCAAATCAGTAATAAGTAAATTGCGTTAAATAATATCATGTTTATATTATTGACTTGAAATACATGATACGGGAAAAGAGGCAACCGTACCTAGAAGTATCTAATAACCTATCATTTCACAACGCAATACATTGAAAGACGATGTTAGATCTTTCGGTGTGCTTACAATTACAGTGTCGGTGTCTCATCATATACTTAATATTGTACAGGTACTCAACCAGAACGCGTAAAAATTACTCAAATACGTAGTTTTTACGCGTTCTGGTTGAGTGTGTGTACATTCACTTACAAACTAGAACAGTAATTTCGAACTATCGTATCTAGTTTGAAGGCGATAAACATTTCTTATTGTTAATTAGGTCTAGACTGTACTTAGAGATGGATGTTGGACAACTTCTCTATCGTGTGAATATGAATACGTTCTAGAATTTACATTACACAACAGGGATGTTCTTCGAGAAATTTTACACGCTTGACTGTTATTTCTTCACTTTTCACTTCAAATTTGTTTTGTTATGCAATTGCGACCATGTCACAGTAAATACTTAATTAATCATTCTTAATTGTTCTCGTACCGACAATAATATTGTTTTAACATTTAATTAATTGTTTTAAAAGAGTGTAAACTGTACGTGAAAATTTCCCTTATTAATAACACGGGTTTAATGAACAATTAATATATGTGAGGCGCTAACGCCTACAGTCGCCACGAGAGGGTCTCATGTGGATGACGTCAGCGCTTCGACACATCACCGCGCTTTTTCGACCTGCCACGAGGCAGTCCTGGGCCCTTAGTCTCGAGTTTTTCGTGTTGTACTCGAACTGACGTCATCGAACTCACTCGTGTTACTATGACTCACATAATCGGTAGTCTCGAGTTAGACCCTTCGAGTGAACTCGAAGGGTCTAACTCGAGCGAGCGGAAGTAGGTCATATTCACTTGTTTACGTTTGTCGATAAGCATGATGGGATTATTTACAATGCATCTGGGTTTGCGACTATAATGATTCGACCAATCAACTTAACTGTAACAAGTTGTAAACAAATCAACGCGAATTAGTTTACACGTGCTACAGTTAAAAGTTGTCTTGTGGCAATATAGTACGCAGAAACAAAATGAAAACCTCGAATGTTTTATTTTAAAAA